TTGGAGTTAGTCTGGAGAGCACTGTGGAAATGCCTCTTCGGAAATGAGATACTCATCTTGCCTTAGGTAAAGCTACTGAGAAAATACTCAGTCTCCTCTCCAGACTCTGCTGCTCTAAGGTTTTGCAATAAAAATCCCCAACAAGCAGAATTCTACTCATAAAGCCAATTTCCAACTTTAAAACCATCTAGCTAGGGGCAGACATAAATGCTTTAAGCCTCAGTGGACTCATACCTACCTGTTCCAGCAGTTACTTGCATTCTCTTTTTGCCCTAGTGGGAAATAAAAGTGGCATGAAAATCAATGCTTCACTCAGAAAGAAAAAAGGGCTGGGTGACCAGACATCAATACATTCCTCCCTGAATTAGACAGTTCTTCAAAGCACAGTTGGTTAAACAAACTTCAACAGGACCAAATGAGTTGGATGAGGGCATCCGCTGGAACAAGGAGCAAATGGTGCCTGTTAAAGACCTGGGGCTAACAAGGCACTCTCTCTATTTGTTAGAGAGTGAGAAAGAAGTCAAGAAAAAATGTAGGCAATGACTCTCCATTTTGAATCTTAGCCAAGTGCTTCAGACAATAAGGAGTCCTTTGGGCCAGTTCAACTGCCCAGAAATAAAAACAGAGAGACTCAGACCAACACCTAGAGTCCTTTCCAGGGCACCAAGATCTTCACCCCCCAGGGCTCTGACACTCAACTTCAGACAGCAGCTGGGGCTGTGGGAAAGTTCCAGCTCTGTAGCCCACAGACCAGCCTGCACCACTTCATAAACATCAGGTTCTGTGTTGCTGACAATTTGGGACAGTATGTAGTCTCTTAAGGAGAGAAAGGTGACTTTAAACTGCTATTCCTGACGTCACAGGCCAATGGAGGTACCAAGACCAAAGTTTCACATTTAAGGAAATGATTATTTTCTGCTCTTCCCCGTCTTGCCAGCTGATACATACCGCTTCTCACCCTAAACCGCACTAAAAGAACACGCTCTAGATTCAGGCAATGAAAGAGACACGAAAAAAGGACTATTCTAGATCTCAAAACTAAACAGCTCAATTCAATGTATCAATGTCAATATATTCTGGATCTCGAACAACCAAGCATCGTAGAAGAGACATCTGTAGGGCTTTGGGGGAATTGGAAATCAAACTCTTTATTAGCCTGGTGCACAAATTTGTGCACATTGAAAGTAAATTAGGAGAAATATCTTAATATCGCTATTTGCCCTGTCTCTATAATAGAAATGTCAACCAAATCCACAATTGACAATGACAGATCGAAACACATGTGTGATTGGTGTAAGAGTGTTACATGTAACAAGCATGTGCAAGTCAACTTAGCCATTTATATTATAGAATAAACTTGATTAGACCTGCTTTCTGGTTTAGCTAAACTTTTTCCACCCCAGTGAAGCACCCCAATTTCTCTTTCAGGTAATTGTCAGCAGCACAACAGTAAATACCAACACAAAGCAGATTCTTATTGTAGAACATGCAGGGAGGACAAAGGGTAAAATATTTAACTGCAGCCGTGTTTGACTATATTCTGCACAGTGAGGAAACCTTTAGTCAGCTTCAAGGTTCACCATTTCTTACTTCTTTTCAGTCGGGTCAAGTTTCTAAGCTTTCTAAATCTCCCTTTTCTAGCTAATGAAAATAAAATAGGATTCCACCGACTCTCCTATCTACCAGTTAAATATTTTACCCTTTGCCTCCCTGCATGTTCTACAATAAGAATCTGCTTTGTGTTGATATTTACTGTTGTGCTGCTGACAATTACCTGAAAGAGAAGTTGGGGTGCTTCACTGGGGTGGAAAAAGTTTAGCTAAACCAGGACTTCTGTGAGGATCAAATGAGATGCGGCACCTGAAAACGCTTCATAGACATTTGGTTAAAATGTAAAATGTTTCCACCTGGATATAAAGCAAGTCGCGCTCCTGGACTATAGAAAACTCCAAGTCGCTAGGGAGAGGAAGTCAGACATTGCTACCTGGCATCCACAGCCACCGTTTCTGGGCTGGGCTGTGGGCTACGTATTGCACCATGGGGTCTCGGCAGTGTTGGCTGCAATTTGGTGGGCTGTCATTCCAGGGTGGTGGCAGGGCCTGTGTCTCACTTGGAGGAGGCAGTGTGTTACTTTGTTGGTGCCAGGTCCATGATGCCATTTCTCTATAAATGGCCAGTGCACATCACAGCAACAGGTCGGATCGTCAGACACTTTATATTTATATATATAGATTATATATAATCTACCTATATATATAGATTAGTGCATTATTTTCTTAGGTATAATGATAAGTAGATATATAGTGAATGCCATTCTTAGAGGTATGCTGAAGAATTGGGAGGTGAAAGGTCTATACTTTCAAATGATTCAATAAAATTAAGTGCATACACTATCTGTGTGTGTGTGTGTATGAATGCTCTATAGATTTAAATTTGTTTTCTAAGGTAGGGGGATTAGTTTTGTTTTTCATGGCATCCATCTTATCCTTTCCTCAGCTCTTTGCAACGACTTTTAAATTTTTACTTGAGATTGATAAGGTCTGTAGAATAGAAACCCACTGTCTGTAGTTGGTGAGCCTTAAGTTGTAATTCATAGAATCAGGAATTAGTTGTTAGGCTACAGAGCTTCTAACATTTCCAAAATCTCACTGATGATTTTGTAAGTCAGAGTAATTTCTGAGTCTGGAATCACAGCTACCCAGTTTTAGCACAGTGACATTTACTTTGCAATACCCTCACCAAACTGTGCTGTTTGAGGGCAGATTTTAAATGGACATCAAATGAAAATTAAACAGTGCCAGCAGCTTCTCTTTTGTAAGTAATCATCTTCCCCTGCTATTCTTGAACGTACACTACAGTTAGAACCCCATTTTTCTTATACCCTGGTGGTGAGTGCTTCCATTAAATTGTAAAATTCTGTGAGGTAAGTACCCTGCTCTAACCCAGAAGGTAGCCTAGCACCATAGTACAAAACCGGAACTCTGCATATACCTGCTGAATAAAGGGATAGATAAAATACAGATCCAAGGTGAAGACTTTTCAAGGAAAACTATGTCTTTTTAATGTGTAATGATGCAGCTCCTCTAATATGTTAAAGAGAAGGGGAGGAGAAACAATTTATAACAAAAACTTTAATGTTATTGTTGGCTATCTGGGCCTTTGTCAGAGGGTGGGAGAACTCTCTGGAAAGTAATAAATAGAAAAGGATTATGTTTACAGAACAGAAATGATAATCTTACATGTTTGCCAGAAGGCTGCATTAATAAACAGAATTCTATAAATCAATATTTAAATTTTATGTCTTAGGCACTTAAAAATTCGAGATAGATGGGAGTTTCTTCTGAGCTATTTACAAAGCCTATGATAATCTTTGATTTTAAAAAAATGAATAATCTCTTTCCAAGAGCTAAGTTTTTTACCTTTTTCCAAAATGGCTATTTTAGTAATATTTGCTGTAACACTATAATGAAACCTGTCAGGACTGGGAAGATGAGCACATCACTGCAGCTGAAAAACGAGTGTTTGACAATTTTTTATTAACACTAATAGGAATAGCTCCTCAAATGAAAATAATTAAGACAACAAAAATAAATTGTTCTCCATAGATCAGTCTTGCAGACTGAGGAATGGTGATAAAGAAAAAGTATAGAGAAGCTCTTAGAATTAAATGAAAACTAAGGGAAACTAGCACCTGCTACACACAGCACTGCCTCCTACCTGGACAGCGCCAACACCAGAGCATGAAAGAAAACTTCCCTTTAAAATTCACTGGGCAATTTTTATGAACTCTGTTTTTGTGTGTGTGTGGAAAATAAGCAGTCAAATCAAGTGTAAGATATCTTTGGAAAATTTAATTTGGACCACATTTTCTTTCTCTTACTGAAAACATCCAATACTTCTATACATTCTGGGATCCGCAACTCACAGAGGGGCGGTGCTTTCCTGCAGGGACATGCTGTACCAACTCTCCACAGAAAGACCAGACATTTTACAACACTGTTTTTGAGTGTTTCCTTACAAATGCTTTAAAGGTTCCTATTAACAAGTGGCAAGTGAAACAAAGGCTGTATCTTCTCCCATTTCCCCTTTAGTGGTGCTGCATTTTGGAGGAACAAGGAAGACTTGTCACATCAGTGTTGGCACCCACCTCACCGCGGCACTGAGGCAGCCCTGCGCCTGAGGGGCCTGGGATGGGTGAGTGGGAGCAGCCGCGTGGGTCTTCCTGGTGGCTCTGGGCCTCTGGAGAAAGGAACACAGGAACGAGGACTAAATCCTGACCCGGGGTCTCCCACCTGGTACTGCAGCACCACAGGTTCACTTTTGCAGGCCTTACAATGAGTATTTAAAGACTAAATATAATTACTGAACATAAAATGAGAAAAAAAAATACCTTTACTAATTATGGTAACAAATTACTAGAATGAAAATAAGAGCATTCGTTTGATAAAACATGTTTTCTGTGTCAGATGAAAGCAATTCCCTTGCAAGCTAATCTAGTAATGTGTATTTGTCACTATTTATAGAGTTTTGCCTGGTGCACAAATTTCTTTAAAATTACTTCTGAACAGCTTTGTCCTTTCTCAAACTAGTAGTGTCATTAGCTTAAAAAAGAGATAAGGCAGCCAAATTTTACTAATTTTGGTTGCAGAAAAACATCTCGGACATTAACTTTCATTTTCTCAAACATTAAGAGCACATGATTAAAAGGTAATCAAATAGTTTCTTCTCTTATCAGGAAACTAAGCAGCTATACCATCAAATCTATCTCTAGTAAACACAGGGCCCCTCATAAATATAAAATTAAATTCTTTTGAGGAATAGGTTTGTGGTTTTAGTTATGCGGGATTTACATTCAGTCACTGTGTTTTGTAGTAAAAAAGTGTGGTCTTTGCTTTTGTTTCACACACAGGCTTTCCTCGTGTCTCAGCAGGCGCTCACAGATGGCAGGTGGGTTCCCTGGCTGGCTGCCGGAGCGGAGGCAACCAGAGAGCCCTGCGCTCTCAGAAGCCCTGCAGGAACTCCTGGAGCTGGGTGACGATCTCCGTGTCCACCGTTTCCATGAGGGACTGGAAGCCCTGCTCGCCCAGGAGCTCCTGCTGTGCCTTGAGCTTCTCGTAGGTGAACTGCTGCAAGGACACGGTGTGCACCGGGTCCTTCAGGGCCAGCTGTGGGACAGAGAGACCACACTGTGTCAAAGGACAAAACAGTCCCTCTTACACGCGCCTGTCTAAATTCCTCATAACCTCCCTCACAGCGACACACTGCCCCTGCCTCCCTTCTCACAAGTGCTTCCCAAACAGCCTCCTGGTGGAAATGTTTGTCAAATGAAATTCACTTGGTTTGTCTAACCTCAGGAACTAGGGCCTCTGAGCATGGAGTTGCAAGATTAGCATAATCTCCCAACAACTAAGGGTTCATCCATATAAAGACTCAAAACCTGGTAGAAAGGACCCTAAAAGGAACAGAACATGCTGTAGACCCTTAAACACAACTGCCCAGGGTTTCTCTTAGGAAAGCCAGGTAGTTACTGTGGCAGGACCACAGTAAATGCACCCCATCCTGGATTGCTATGCCATTCACATTCACTACATGCTTCTGGTTTAAAATGAGAAATAAAAATAATAAACAACATAAATGATAAATAAAACAAACAAGTACTCTCTCTCCCATTGGTATATTTGAAAAACAAAAGAAATATAATTAAAAATAGCCCACCATTCCACTCTCTAAAGATAACAATCAACAGCAAACATTCTGGCCTCAGGTTTCGGGCTCCATCCCCAAGTGTGGAGCATGCAGGAAGCATCCAATCAATGATTCTCTCTCATCACTGATGTTTCTCTCTCTCACTTCCTCTTTGAAATCAATAAAAATATAATAAAAATACACCTCTTCAAAATAGGAACTTCCTTATGTAGGACAATGCTTTGCAAAAAGGGAAAAGTGAGAATGAAAGTAGGAAGAACAGCCAAGACGACAGTCTAAAGGTCACTGCAATGATATCTAAGTTGCTGAAAGTAAGTTCTCCCAAAGTAGGCCACATCTTTCATCTACAAACACAAAGACTTTATTTACTCCGACTCAATGCCACACTGTTGAAGTTTCCAAGGGACCAGTAGCAAAGTTGCTGAACTCTTCCTGATTAAGGTTTCTGGTAACAATGCAAGTAAATAATGAAGAAATAATAATGAGGTTGCCTGCTTTGTAATACTCAAGAACAATACTGATGTCAGTAGGCAATTAATCTGAAATCTGAACTAAAAACAAAAACCAGAAGCCATCACTTTATTTAATTCCAAGGGCATTTTCAAGATAATTTTCTTTCCAGTATCTTTTGGTTACTATTATGTGGCCACTGTGAAAGATCTTAACCTCTGGATCTCAAACTATATTTTATTAATATTGTAGCCCTACAATAGAAAGAACTGCTAACCCAGGAGGCTGCCTGGTTATCAATTTGAGTCTTCATTATACCTCAGTTGGATTATTTAAATTCATTTCTTCCTATCCTCTTGGATTGTTCTAATGTCACTTGTAGGTTGATCACTGAAACTGTGTATTTCTAAATTTGGGAAAGTTTAACACTGCTTTTGATGGTCTCAGTTGTAAGGAAAGTTATATTAAATCTACCATTTGAAATGTTCACTACTTTTTATAAAAGCAGCCTTAGGTAAAGTTGTCTGTCCAATGCCAGCCTTTTGTATGTTTCATCATCACCAGAAGACAAGTTCTGTGGGCAGATATTCAAGCTCACAAAGGAAATACTAATTACAAATATCAAAGCTTTGTACATGGTACTCTACTGCCATTGTGTGTCAATGTTCTTCTCTATTACTTTCTCCCCTCCTTCTCCCTTGCTTCCACTCTCTCTAGAAATGAATAGGAAAAATATCCTTGGGTGAGCTTTTAAAAAAAAAAATTCAAGATTATAATTTTAAAGGAAAGATATTTTAGCTCTAGCAGGTTTGGCTTAGTAGGTAGAGCATTGGCCCGAGGACTGAAGGGTCCTGGGTTCAATTCCAGTTAAGGGCACGTACTTGGTTACAGGCTCACTCCCAACCCTGGTCGGGGCACTTACAGGGAGGCAACCAACCAATGTGTCTCTGTCACATGGATGTTTCTCTCTCTCTGTCTCTCCCCCTCCCTTCCCCTCACTCTAAAAATTAATGGAAAAATACCCTTAGGTGAGGATTTAAAGAAAAGGAAAGATATTTTACATTTCCCATTCTTTATTCTTTTTTCTTATTATATTCCTATAGTAAGAAGTAATAGTTTTCTAAACAATTTAGCAATTAATTCAAAGGCATTTTTATAAAAGTCTGTAATGTATTATCGAAAAAAATTCATTGCAAAAAATCCAAGAAATAACCTGGAATGAAGCAACGTCAGTGAATCTCCTCAAAACAAGAGAATCAGCCTTACAACTTAAACACCATTTGAGGGCCGTGTGTTTTCTGTGAGTAAAAGAACAAACTCACTGTTCTGCTTAGACAATACACAATTATTTCATATCAAGAAATAAAATTAATCTGTTTCAGGAATAAACTCCCAATTTCAAAGCTCAGCTAGCTTACCTTAATTTTGCACAAGGGATAGAGGAATGGATTAACAGATATTTTCAAGCCTACAGAATATGATGATATATGGTTCTCCCAAATTTTTAGAAGCTACCTTTGTAACTTACCATTTTTTTCCTCTTATCCTGTTCTGTGGGTGGTTCTTCATCTTCTGTTGCTTTTGGTTCTTCAAGATGAGACATCAACATACAGCTACAGTTTTTAAGAAATGTTTTTAATAAATTTTTAAGTTTTTAGCATACTAAAAACAAATCCTCAAAATCACTGACAACATTAATGCCTTTATATATCAAAATGTAAATAGCTTCCCTGTTTCCCCGAAAATAAGACAGTGTCTTATATTAATTTTTTCTCCCAAAGTTGTGCTAGGTCTTATTTTCAGGGGATGTCTTATCTTTCCATGCGCTAGGCCTTATTTTCGGGGAAACACGGTAGATGAATTAGACTTATAAATATAAAAAATTAATTACAAAACAATATCTCACTTTAAAAAGGGCTACACCAAAAAGAATTTAGAGCATTTTACTTGAGCATTTAAGGTAGTAAACGCTAAGGTATTTATTTATAAGTAAAATTTGAACCATATATTTCTTGGCAGTCAGGTGTACCTTTTATGTCTTTCTAAAAAATGATACTTACAGACACTTAAAATTAATACTTCTTTTACCACTAAATTTCATTTGTCTGTAGATTATTATACGTTTCATAACAGTAGTAATAATTTAAAACATAATATCATTAAAACTCTATTGATTATGTAACAATTAACTTTATGCTCCAAATGATATAACAACTAGGCTACAAGGAATTTGTCTCTGGGCCTGAATCATTTTGTTTTGAATATCTGCATCACTGCTCTTCACCATTAGCAGAGATGACAGAAATGCAGTTTCCCACTTAGTCAACACTGGTGCCAAGGAGACCAGAAATGAATAGTGTCTAGTGTATCAAGTTGGTGGAAACAAACTTCACTGTTTCCTAGTGTAGAAGAGTGGAATTCAGTAATTAATCAGAGTCATAGGTCCCAACTAATGCAGATGGGTGGATTAGAAAACTATGGTACATCTACACAATGGAATACCATGCGGCTATAAAAAAAGGATCTTTTACCATTTGCAGCAGCATGGATGGACCTGGAGAGCATTATGTTAAGAGAAATAAGCCAGGCAATGAAAGAAAAATACCACATGATCTCACTCATTTATGGAAAATAAAGAACATTATAACCTGATAAACAAAAAGATAGATACAGAGGCAGTAAAGCACTGAACAGACTGTCAAATTACAGCAAGAAGGCTGGGGAGTATTGGGGAGGGAGAGGCAGAGATCAACCAAAGGACTTGTGTGCATGCAAATAAGCACACCAATGGACACAAGACACTGGGGGAGGTGGGATGAAGGCATGTGACAGGGGGTGGGGGAGGCTGGGGGAAGGTCAAGGGGGGGGGGAAGGGTGTATTACATGTAGATATATATATATATATATATATATATATATATATATATTACTACATGTAATACTTTAAACAATAAAAAATTTTTTTAAAAAAGCTTGGTTTCTCTTACATTTTGTAGTAAAGTTAAATGCTAGACATATTTTATTTGTATCCTATCTAATAAAAGGATAATATGCAAAATAACCATCACTCCGTCACAAAGATGGTGGCACCCATAGCCACAAGATGGCTGCGCCCAGTCCTCGTAGCCTTGCAGGAGTCCTCCAGTCTCAGGGGGAGGGGGCAGCCATTGAGAGCGGGCAGTGTGAGCGGCCTGGTGGAATGTTTACTTCGTCATTGTCCCACAGAGACTCTAACAGCAGGGAGGTGGACCATGTCTAAAGAGCAACTACTAATACAACATAGTTCTGCAGCTGGAAGAAGCCGGCGTTATCGACAGAAAATGTCTGAAGACCAACGTGCATCTGATCTTGAAAGAAGGGGGTGCCTGTGCAGAATGTATCTGAAAAACTACTATTGGCAAAACGTAGCTCTGAAGCTGAAAAAAGCCGGCATCATCAACAGAAAATGTGTCAAGACCAACATGTCCTTTGAAGTTGAAAAAAGCAGTGGTGACTATAGAATATGTCTAAAGAACAGTCATCAACAAGTGCTACCAATACTGGTAGGAACTGCCTTCTCAGCGAAAATGGAGTACATTAGGATGCAATTTTCGAACATAGTTGTGGTGAAATGACTGCTAGATGTCAATTTTGCCTCTCACCAAATTTCTCTGATGAAAAACCATCTGATTCACTTGATGTTGTAGCGAAAGTAAAGTCTGTCCAAATTATATACATTTTCCAGAATACCTGGCATATTTAAAAAGATTAATGACAAACGGAGATTCTGACAGTAAAAATTTCGTGGAAAATATTAGTTCCATAAATAGTTCTTTTGCTTTTGCTTCCATGGGTGCAAATATTGCATCGCCATCAGAATATGGGCCATACTGTTTTAGAATATACGGACAAATTTATCACCATACTGAAACTTTACATCCTTCGGATGGTGTTTCTCGAAAGCAGGGGAGGGCAGTTGGAGGTGACCAGGCCTACAGGGGAGGGCAGTTGGGGGCAATTGGTCTGGCAGGGGAGCAGCCAGGTGTTCATCAGGCTGACATGGGAGTGGTTAAGAGTGATCAGGCTGGCAGGCAGAAGCGGTTAGGGCAGGCAGGCGGCAGGCAGGCAGGCAGGCAGGCGAGTGGTTGGGAGCCAGCAGTCCTGGATTGTGAGAGGGATGTCCAACTGGGATCGGGCCTAAATAGGCAGTCGGGACATCCCTCATAGGGTCCCAGATTGGAGAGGGTGCAGGCTGGGCTGAGGGACACCCTACTCCAGTGCACCAATTTCATCTACCAGGCCTCCAGTATGTTTAATAAGATTCAACATGTATCTGCTTTTCAATATTTCTCAACAAAATATGATTCAAACAGCAATCTTTCCCATTTGCTGTAGATGATAAATGGGCTCAATACTTTACTAAGGAAACCACAAGGTGACCTGGAATCTCATAAAGCCCTACTTATCATTACATGAAACATGTCCTTTATCAACAGTAATAAGAGAAAAGTTGAAGCAATTCTACTAATTAAAAAAGAATGAAATGCTTGTTTAAAACAATTTCAAATTAATAACTATATAAATGAGATTATCAGCATTCCTGATATGATTTTAACTATTCTCCCAAAGAATATAATTTTAATATTCTCTTTGAAACTAGTCAAGTACCATGTGACCCTCTAATATCTTAAAAGTGCCAGTGATGCTTACACCAGGCAAATACAAAAAGGGGATGCTTATCCATTTCCTTTACCCCATAACTTGCCTAAAAGGGGAAGAAACTTTGTTAGTTGGAAAAAAAAAACCAACCTATTAAAAACAAATCTTTAAAAAGGAATTCATATGCTAATATACACTTTTTTTTAAAGTTAATGTCAAATCATAAAATAACAATTAAGATTTAAAAAGCCCAATATAGCCGAAACCGGTTTGGCTCAGTGGATAGAGCGTAGGCCTGCGGACTGAAAGGTCCCAGGTTCGATTCCGGTCAAGGGCATGTACCTTGGTTGCAGGCGCATCCCCGGTGGGGGGTGTGCAAGAGGCAGCTGATCGATGATTCTCTTTCATCGATGTTTCTAACTCTCCTTCCCTCTCTCTTCCTCTCTTAAAAAATCAATAAAAATATATTTTAAAAAATAAATAAAATAATATAAAAAGCCCAATGTAGAATTTCTCTATAACAAGATAAAGCTGATCTTAAACAATAGTAATTTTTTTTCTTCATAGAAGACAAAATTAAAACAGTTGCTATTCTGTTTTTATATGGTGATAGTGAACAAAACTCAACTTTTCTTCATAGAAGACAAAATTAAAACAGTTGCTATTCTGTTTTTATATGGTGATAGTGAACAAAACTTTATATGGTGATAGTGAACAAAACCCTCCCCCACAAGTATTATCAAGTGTAATTAATTAAATGATCCACCTACTCTTTGTATGTTCTTGTCTCAGGATCTTCTGTCATGACATCATGGAGGCCCTCCACGGAAATGTTTATAATTCCACAGAATTTATCTTGGATAACACTAGAATAAAAGGAGAGCAAAACAGGTTAAACTGAAATATTTCAATAGGTGTTCTTTTTTCTAATTGTCCTCTTGAATATGAAGAGAAATTTTAGTCTTAAAATTCAAAGAAAACTTTCAAAATATATTTCTCAAAGCAGAAATTCTATCTTGTGCATATATTAAAGACTTCTCTTTCACTAGATTATTAGTGTGCTTTGACACTAGAAAGGTATCGTGTTTCCCCGAAAATAAGGAATCCTCCGAAAATAAGACCTAGTGTATGGAAAGATAAGACATCCCCTGAAAATAAGACCTAGTGCAACTTTGGGAGAAAAAAATTAATATAAGACACTGTCTTATTTTGGGGGAAACAGGGTAGATTAGATAGAAAAGAGATGCTTTATAATATTCTTTAACTTACTATAATAGTCTTGTGCTGACTTTATAACTAAAAGGTAAAGATACAAAAATGTTAAATATTAAAAATCTCTATTCTCCTAAAGACAGTATCAAGAAAAAGCCAGACTAGGAAAAACATTTGTAAAACATGTATTTGACAAGACTTGGAACCAGAATATAAACAAAAATAAAAACTCATTAAGACAAATAACTCAATTCAAAAATGGGTAATATTTGAACAGAGATTCTGCCAAAGAATATATCCTATATAATAAAAACCAAATATGCTATGTCTGGTCGTCCAGTCGGCCGTTCAACCAATCAAAGCATAATATGCTAATGATATGCTAAGGCCACTCAACCACTTGCTATGATGTGCACTGACCACCAGGGGGCAGACACTCCACCTGGTATGTTAGCTTGCTGCTGGGGTCCTGCCAATTGGAACTGAGCAAGATAGTCCGGACATGCCCTGGAGTACTCCCATGGTCCTTTCCCTGGCTGGCCAACCTACCGCATCTCTCTCCAGCCCCAATCATGCACCAGTGGGGTCCACTGGCCTGGCCTGTGCCCTCTTGCAATCAGGGACTCCTCGGGGGATGCTGGAGAGCCAGTTTCACCCCAATCCCACAGGCTGGGCAGAGGGACTCCGCTGGTGCATGAATTTGTGCACTGGGCCTCTAGTATGTATATAATATATATTAATAGATGTCATATATCAGTAAAAAAATATTCTATGTCATTAGTTATCTTAGAAATGCAAATTAAAACCACAATGAAAAAAATAAAACCACAATGAGATTTTAATAAAAGTAAAGATTGACCTAATTTGAGTGCTCGAAAGTTTGAGAAACAATAGGACCTCTCATACATTGCAAGTAAGAATGAAAAATGGCACATTCATTTTGGAAGATACATTGGCAATTTTAAAAAATATATTTTTTAATTGTTTTTTTTACAGAGATGGAGAGGGATAGAGTTAAAAATATCGATGAGAGAGAGACATCGATCAGCTGCCTTTTGCACACCCCCTGCCCGCAACCAAGGTACATGCCCTTGACCAGAATCGAACCTGGGACCTTTGAGTCTGTAGGCCGACGCTTTATCCACTGAGCCAAACCGGTTTCAGCACATTGGATAATTTTTATAGTTAGGCACACTCCATTATAACCAAATAATCCCATTTGCAGGTACTTACCAAGACCAACCCTCAGATCTGTATATGACTATCCATAGTAGCTTTAGTCATTAAAATCCAAAACTGCAAATGATCCAAATGTCTATCAACTAGTGAGTGGATAAACAAATTGTGGAATACTAATTCACTGGAATAGTAGTTAGCAATAAAAAGGAAAAAACTACAGATACATGAAACAGTATGGATAAATCTCAAAAACATTACACTAAGAAATAAAATAGACTCAAAAGACTACATATTATATGATTCCATTTATGTGACTTTCCAGAAAGACAAAATTATTTATTTGGTCAGTGGCTTCCAGGCAAAAACATAGGGGAACTTTCTGATGTGATGAGAATATTCTATACCTTGGTAGTGGTTACATTTACTAAAACTATGCTTAAAAGGTTTCACTACAGGTAAACTATACCTTAATAAACCTGACTTTAAAAAAGTGGGAGTACATACCCATCCACTGGCACACTAAATTATAATATTTGATTTTAAAACCAACTGAATAAATTACATCTTTTGTCTCCAGGGAACTTATAGTATCATCTCTATCAGGGACACAGTGTTCTCATGCTGCATTAACACGCATAATTAATTTTTAAAATGTTCAGTAAAGTCATCACACTTTGGGCCACAGTCCTACCTTTGTAAAGTCAAAACTCTTTGTCTATAAATTCAAATGTGATCTGATTTTAGAAAACGAAATCACCACATGAGCAAACAATAACCAGTTGATATTCTAATTATTAGTATCTGTTCTAATAATATATACTCTAGTGTTTGAGCATATATTCTTGATGTTAATATATTTCCTTTATAAAAGACTAAAAAATCTCTAAAAAAAAAACGAACATACGGTCTACCTTATTAGGACTTATTGAAAAACACTGGAATTAAAATGAAAAAAAACCGAAACTTTTCACTGGAAGTTCAGCTACTAACTGTGCAACCCTACTGAAGTTTACTTATTTCTTGAGGTGTTGGTCTCCCTGTCTGTAAAATGAAGGCTGGAGCCGGGGATGGCAAACACATGGGAGGAAATAAAGCCATTTCCCCCTCTCACTGTGGAGTACTTCACCACTAATCCATCCCAGCATGCTAAGCAGGGATGAGATTCCTGTTGAACATCCAGCATTTTAACAACACTGATCTCAGTCAGCTGAAAAATACAAAAACCCTCTAAATTACAGCTTTCAAGGCTCTCTAAAGGGCTGGTGTCAATATTATTTAGGAACAATTCATTTAGGCAGCTGCCTTCTTACTCACATCACCTCCAAGCACCAAGAAATTTCACACAAAAAATCAATGGAATTTCTGAATACTGTGTTTTCTCTCAAAGGATTCATTGTGAGATTTCCTAACACATAGGAAATGACTGTGTTCTGGTACGTGGGTGAGTATGAATTACAAGGAAGTATATTAAGAGATAAAAATGTATAATTTGATAGCCAGCTCATTTGATTATGTCTGTTTCATCAAATTATCATATTGATCAATGTGGTGCTATCATCACAAGCACATGTTTTTTAAGAGAAGGTAAGAAGTTATATCTTTATTATATAGAATTATAAAAAAGTAATTAGCAATATGCTGAATTTATAAATAATACAGCAATTCTAGAGCATTAGACTTCAAGTCGTTTACTAAGACTTAGCCTTTATGTCTAAGAACAGTTATTGATAAACTGCAGCATAAAATAAACTTTGCACAATTCTTGCCAAAAGCAGTAACTTCACCCCTTTCTCATAAATGATGAGGCTGTTAGATGACACTACTGGGACCAGAATAAATCTTGAAAAGTTCTGAGGCAAATCAGGTACTTGAGATTTCTAGAAAGCCAAAAGAATGAATGAATGAATGATGACCAAAAAAAAAAAATAAGTTAGAATCAAGAATAGATAATGAGCTCTAACAGGTTTGTCTCAGTGGATAGAGCACAGGCCCATAGACTGAAGGGTTCTGGGTTGGATTCTGATCATTAGCATGTACCTCGGTTGCAGGCTCGATCCATGGCCCTGGTCGGGCGTGTGTGGAAGCTAACCAGTCCATGTGGCTCTCTAACATCAGTCTTTCTCTGTCTCCCACCCTCCTTTCCACTCTCTCTAAAAATCAATGGAAAAATATCCTCAGGTGAGGATTAACAGCAACAAAAGAATGGCTAATGATTTTTAGAGCAGCAGAATGGCCAGAGGCCAGAGGACAATAGTCTGCTCAGCCTGTCCATACTCATCAGAGAGAAAACTACAGCCCTGGCACATGCTTATTCAGACTTAGAGAAGTCAGTCATATGATCACTGGAATTTACTCTCTCCTTCCCTCCTCTGCCTCCAACTGGCTTGGAAGAAGGCTATCTAGTAGGGATAAAGGAAGGGAGGTGAGGCAGCCTCAGTCAGTCATTCTTTTCATTGGAGTGTAACCTGCTGCACAGAAAAGGTCACAGAAGGCAGAGATCTAGCTGGAGTTTGGGGTGAAGACCAGTAAACAGGAGACACCATGCTCACCCTGGAGTACCTATTCAGTGCCAGAGGGGAGGAGGCACAGACATCCAGTTCAGAAAGGGGGAACATGACTATGGCCATGAGTGGAAAGGCATGGGAGCTGGCTTTGAATGGGAAGAGCTAATTCTAGAAAAGGAGGACTGAAGAATAAGAGTGGAAAGGGAGAAGTCATATTCTTGGATGAGTGAAAGGAGAAGTTAGGCAATGATTATCTTCAAGGCATTCAAGTTCAAAAAACACTCACTGCAGTTTGGGCAAAGTACCCCCCAAAAGCCACAAGAGGCTTGTACTTTCATGACATATGGAACACAAATTGGAAGAAAATAAGCATTAAGAAGTTGTATATTCTTGTTCTCCTTTTGTATTATAAAAGTGTTCTCTCCAAATGTGTAAATGTAACATTTCAAAATGAAGCATTTAAAAATCTAACTCTTTTAGGCAGTATTCAATATGAAGTGTTAAATATCAGTCTTTGCTTCACTTATTCACAATACTCTCAACCTTGTCTTTTATAAATTAAGAATCAATCTTGTTTTTTATAATATACAAATTATCTGAATAAAATGCTTTAATATGTGATTAGACATTTAAAATGAACCAATAAAAAAAGAGCTATAAACCCTCAGAGGAATGAAATGAAAAGAAGTTTGGAGGAAAAAGGGGAAATGATGAAAGGCAAGTACTTAGATAATCTTATAGTCACTATCTCTTTAAACACAACAAGATATTACTTTCTGTTGTACTTTCTTTTGAAAACACTTCAAAACTTCAAGAATTTTCATGTGTTATTGGAGTTATGAGTAATACTTTATTAGAATTCTTCTCCGTGTATCATCCTCTAATTGTCCTCTCATGCACATTCATTCAAATCACCAAGTATAATGTGGAAAAGGGAAGGTAGCCAAAAAAAACATGTAATTTTATATTTC